GAATATACAGAGGATTTGAAGCTGGGTATGACATTGTTACGACAGCGGGGGTCACGTGACGCTAGTAACACGTCATATTCTCGAAGGTTCATGAAGCCTCGAGAAGTTACTAGATATGCGGTATTCTTGTATATATAAGCCGCTAAGAAGTGACGGCAACAATGTAATGTAGTTGAATTGCAGACAGAGATAGAGACGTATTGTTGGGTCGAGCGCGTGTGTCGTTCGTTGTGAATTATATCGTTTATTTAACTTATAGTGTGACCGTTGAAATTAAGTGAATTTCAAAGCTGTATTGAGAAAGAATAAACTAGTTTTATTTAAGAAAGGACTTGTGTCGCTAAAGTTTCATCGGAAAGAAATTATACGGAAGTTAACTAACGACCAGAGACGTAACAACATATTTGTTAGCGCACACAGAGATTGAGACTCTGAGGGTTCGTGATTCGTGGCCCATTGCAACATAAACACTCTCCACACTTTTAGGCCACAGATATGCCATAAATGTAAGGGTCCAATCCCACTATTCGACCACACAAGAGTAGCCCAAGAATTGGAGATATGGGCTGTTGACATACTTCCCTGTAGTCTATCAGCTTAAATTTAGGAAGGGCTATGCGCAGATAGCCCTTTGTGTAGCTTTGTGCAAAAATTCTGAAACAAAAAACAAACTGAATATAATACTGGAAAATGTGTGAATGTGATACTGTAATAAGAATATAAATGCTGAATGAAGTGTGAATTAAATACTTTACTGGGAATAACGTGGGGAATAAAATATTATACTGAAAATATGATAAAGTGAGGACATAACACCATACTAAGAATATGATGCTTTATATAATGTGAATATAACATTACACTGGAACGCGACCGTATAAGTAACGTTATCCTAACAGTATGGAACACAACGATATAAGTAACGTTATCTTAACAATATAACTTTAAAGAGCGTGTAGCTATAATGCTAAGTACAGTATGAATTTCATACTGTATGAATAACACAATAATGCTATATACAGCATTCATGAAACATAACATAAAATGGTGTTTACATTGATGTATGTCATTCATTGTTGATAATAGAAAAAATATTAGTATCTTGTAGCCACTTCCAATATCATCTACAATTTTTGTGACTATGGGACCATTTTTTTTACTAATTTAACACGAAACACTACGATAATTATTCCTCTCTGACATTATTGAAAAAAAAGAACATGCCTGATCAGACCTGATTAAGCCATTGGTTTAAGTCTGTTAATAAGACAATTGTTTTATACAGAGACTTCATTCGTCACAATCTTTGATGGACATTTGAAAGTAATTTGAATAAAATATCACTTCTAAAATCTTTCTACTGATTCTTATAGCATTTTTTCCACAAAATAATAAATATTTTTACTTACGTGATTAAATAATCTATTTAATGCTACCTAACGTACGTGAATTATCAATTTTTTAAAAAATCACGCTTTTTTTCCTTATTGGAGAACCATTAGTTAAATGGTAAGTTTGGCCCAAAATGAGATGTTTTTCAATGTGACTGGACGAAAATGAAGATTCCCATTTGAAAATATAAAATTGTGTTTAGTAGTTTGCTGAATTAAAGAAAAGCATTGATTATGGAGAATATGTTGTTAATCAGTCACTTACTTCTATAATAATTGATCAGATTTATAGCTTTCCTTCCACAACAACTTCATAAGCAAATCTAGATTGCAGTAGAAGCAGCAGATATATTTGCTAAGTTTTTACCATTTTTAATTTTTCACTGTTTTTGGTTGAGAGTTCGCAGTAATTTATTGTTTAGATTGCTTGTTTGTTTATTTCAAGTTAAGCACAAAGCTGCACAATGGGCTATCTGTGCTCTGCCTACCACGTATCTACCCGGTATCTAGCGTTGTAAGTCCGCAGACATACCGCTGTGCCTCTGGGGGCATTATTATTTAGAATTCTCCTTGGAAATAATAGTGGGGAGGATGAGTCAAATTCGAAATTTATCGATGTATTTAGACTGAACATAATTCGAAACACTTATTGTAACATTTCTGAAAATCACCTGTTAGTTAGTAAGTATTATTGTTCAAATGTTCTAACAATATTGTTTTACTACTGGAACATAGGGTTGAGAGCACTGTTTTATTTATTTATTTTAACCAAGTACTTCAATCAATCTACGAAAGGAATATTTTTTTCATTTATTGAGTTTTATATTTCCTAGGTTAAAAATATAACACGTTTTTTTAAGAAAATATAATTCTTATACGTTTTGTTTTGACAGTCTCTACGCACAATTTGAAATATAAAATAAGATTACCTACGTTGTTTTTAAATCAGACTCAACGAAAATATTTTTAGAAATTACCATTGCATTTTCAAAACTTTTCCGTAAGTAAACGACAACAGACAGTTGTTTACTTTACTTTTTAAGTTAGTTTCATTTGAAACTAAACATTTTATTGTTAATGACTACTTGTAGAGAGTTCATCGAAAAAAAGTAGTTGTTTTGTTTTCTTTTAGAGCAAAACCACGTTGGTCTATCTGCTGTGTTCACCGCGGGGAATCGAACCCCGGAGTTTAGTCTTGTAATTCCTTAAATAAACTTACCGCTGTCCCACCGGGGGGGGGGGCTAAAAAGTATAATCATAAAATTATTATTAATAGGAAATAATGCTTTAATGTTGATTTGATTAAAACTAAAATTTCAAATCTAAATTCAAATTCTCGATAACAAATGTAAAAGAAAAAGACAATAACGCTTATCTTTCTTCTATACTGTAAGAATAAGTTATATTGTAGTACCTTCTCTTCAACAGTACTAAACATTTTAACATAACACTAAGAACGTAAATTACTGGAGTTGTTATTACGAGTGGTTAAAATACACATAACGTTGCTATATTACTATAGAGGATCAGCTTCAACCACTAAGCACAAAACTACTTCTAGACCTAATCGTGAAAGTGTGATAAATGATTATTTCTGGAAAAATTCACAGGAAGCATATCATACTAGTATTATATTTTATCCGGTAATTTCTTTCTTTTTGCAGGCGGTATCAAATAATACAGATGGAGATGGTAAGTCATCGATGGTTTTTTTACTAATTTTTGGAAATATTTTTGTAAACCTTGTACAATGAAATGAAATGTGAAAGTTCCCGATAAATGTTGTTATAAATGTAACATAGAAATATAATTTTATTTATAAAAACTGCTGTTAATACAGTAATTATATATTTTTTCTATCTTATTGTGTATTCGTTCATGATTGCATTCTCTTTATAATTATTTAGCTATGATATAGTCTAAGAAATGTATGAAACATTCGAGTTTAACCATATTTTCTTATTTTATCGAATAAGCAATAAAATGTACAAATGTCGCCAGGATATCTCACTAATAATATTATAAATATATATATATATATGTCATTAGTATAAATGTAGAATTATATCAAAAATGTCTAATTAGTATAAATACAGAATTACACCACAATATTGCATTAATAATAAATGTATAGTTACAATAAAATGTCATTAGTATACATATAGAACGACACCAGGATATCTCATCAATATAGATATAGAATTCACAAGTATGTCATTAGTATAAATACAAACTTACACCAGAATATCTCATTAATAATAGATAATTACATCAATATATCATTATCTTAACAAAACCTTACACAATGATATCTCGCTAATAATATAAAAATAATTATACCATATGTCAATAGTATAAATATAGAATTATATCACACTATATAATTGATAATATATATAGAACTGTACCAGAATACGTCATTAATATAAATTTAAATTACTAAAGAGTATATTTTTATTAATAACTATAAATTTAACTCAGAATATTTCATTACTATAAACATAGAACTTTCCAGAATATCTCATTAATAAAAAATATAGAATTACACCAAAATATCTCATCAGTAATCTAGAATTATACCAGACAGTCATTAGTATTAAGAATGACATTAGAATATGTCGTCAATAATAAATATAAAAATACACCAAACGTTATTATCATAAACACAAATAATTACACCAGAATATCTCATTAAGAAGATATTCTGGTATATTCCTTTATTTATTATTAACAATAAATATAGAATTACACCAAAATATCTCATCAGTAATCTAGAATTATACCAGACAGTCATTAGTATTAAGAAAGACATTAGAATATGTCGTCAATAATAAATATAAAAATACACCAAACGTTATTATCATAAACACAAATAATTACACCAGAATATCTCATTAAGAAGATATTCTGGTATATTCCTTTATTTATTATTAACAATAAATATAGAATTACACAAAAATGTCTCATTAATGATGAATATAGAATTGCACCGGATTTCATTAATAATAATAGTGTTATTAATATAAGCTTAGAATTACACCACGATATCTTATTATTAATAAAAATG